GCGGACGAGTCCAACGCAAGTGCGATCTCATGATGTGATTCCTGTTGAGAGCTAGTCTGGGTCGGAAGCGTCTGGCAGGAGCGCTAAAGAAAATATGACAATGCTACAAATTTTGCATGCACCTCTGCCAGGGGAGAGAAGACTATATAGCATGGCTAATAGGAATGCTAGGAAGGTAGAGCAATACAAAAGAGCAAAATATATGTTGCCCGAAAAGAAACTGTTCATGGTACGTGGCATGGCACGCTGCAAGGCACGCTGTTGTAACAATGTGTCGTCAGAGGAAGTCCGAAAGGTTAGACAAGGATTGTACAGTAAGACTCCTAAAGAGCGGGTGGGGTGGTGGATGAAAAGCCTCAAAGATTTCACACTGAATGAAGGTGGAGAGAAACGTGTTTGTCATGTAGAGTTAGAACGTTACATGTGCGTCAAAGCCTACTACAATGTTCTCAGTGTCTCGTAATATGTTTTATAGCTACAAAAAGCGATTCGACAATGGCTTTGTGCGTTGCGAGCACGGTGTCGGCGCGAATACCCTTACAAGGGTATCCTCCCTGGTTTTTGTAGTTTAAAGTTCGAATGCACCGCGCGAGTCACGACAGTCTCCGTTGTGTATGCGGGTGATGGTTGACTAGAATAAAGAGTATGTGGGCGCGCGGATTTGAGGCGCGCGTGATCTTTTTAGTTGTTGATGATTGAAGAGTCGGCATGATCGCCGACCAGAAATTTTTATTTTTATTTTCTGACTAGGTTAGGATTAAAAAGGTTATGACTCGATGATTAACGTACTTGCCTGTGACCTATGCGTGCGTGCGGAGAACGACATCGACAACAATGTGACTTCGGAAGGCGTTTCGGTAGCTCGGGGTGTTGCACAATGTCTGTTCATTTAGGCGTCCGCTAGAGCTAGACCCAGACTTGGGCCTAGCACTGTTAGTTACGGCGTCGGAATTTTATCTGAGACATTCAGGGATTGAGGTCGAGCGGCGACGACGCGGGACTATCTGAGTGGTGCGAGGCGGTTGAGGTCACGGCGGGGCTATCCTCCTCTGGTTCTATCATTGGCGGCGTCCGATTGGTGATGACGTTTATGCCCCGACGTGCTGTTGACCGGGACGAGACGCCGAATTTAATGGTCATCACGGCGGTTGGGGACCTTGGGCGCACGCCTTCTAAGGTTGGCCTGCGGGTTCTCGCGTGCTTGGGATGCCGACGACATTCCTTTATCCTAATTGTTATGGTACATGGGCCGAAGAGCACCGTCCGTTCCCCGCCGTCCGGGATGGAGAGGTTGGGTATGAGAGCGCCTGCAGGGCTCTCCTCCACTTCAGTCTTCAAAGTTCTCATATGAATATTTGCTACTACCACCAAGCCAGTAGCGGAGCTCTGGCGAAAATAGCGAAGCAGGGCTTGGGTATAGAGGGTGATCGAACTGGCTGGTAGTTGACTTCCCTCGAAGCCCCGTCATCTTTGATTGAGACGGTCGGGCTTACGAAGGCTTTAGGGCCACGTGCTACAACAAACAGGCTGGCGCAGCCTGACGGAAGACTGTACAGGCGAAGAGCGGAGACAACAACGGGTAGGGCGACTTCGGTGTAGGCCGGTGCGAAATCCCAGCGTGGCGGGTCTGACCGGGCTGCATTAACAGCTGCAGGCGGCGACGGGGCGCTAGCCAGGCGGGACGAGCGCTGAGCCAAAACGATGGGTCCGGCCAGGCAACAGTGCTAGGTAACAGCAAGGTTTCGGGCGTTGGAGCTGTCGGGCCGTCGGGCAGACCGCTGTATTGAGCACTGCCGAATCAGGAAGCGGAGGGCGAGGACGAACGGGGTGGTGAAAAGCGGTGGATGAATCCGGACGGGAAAGCGCACCGGATGCATGCGGGGTAAGGACAAGCGGAGCGGACCAGAGATTGGGCACAGCGAAGGGCAGGGAGCGCAGTGGCACAGCAAAAGCGCAGGGAGGATAACGGAGCAGTTGAGTAGCTCGCCGGTCACTAGGAGGTCCGCTACTGCCGGACGTAGTGTTGGCCAAGGGAGTAAGGCGGACAGTCATGGAAGCAAGGGGAGGCACAGCAAGCGTCGGCTGCAGGAAGGAGGCACAGGGCAGCCGATGGGTCCGCTATAGAGACTCCCACCGCCGAGCGCCGTCGGGAAAACAACATCGGTCAGAGGGAGATAGGCAGCGGGGGAGGCTGGCAAGCGGAGCAAGCGGGCGGAACGACGGGCGCTTCAGTGACAGGATGAATGAAACGGGGAAGCGAACCTGGACAGGGAAGGGCGCAAGGTTCATACGAAGGTAAGGAAGAAAAGGGAAACGAAACAGGGCAGGACCCTGCGGGGCCCGGGGGTCCGCACCCCCGGTCCCGGCTAAAAAAACAAAAAAAA